AGTATGGGCTGAATGACATAAAACGCACTTAGTTGCTGATAATGCAGCAGAATTGGTAGAATTTGGTGAAAAACTAGAACTTCTATATATTAACTTGGCTCAAATTCCCAGAACTACTTGGACCGAAGTACTTCGGCGCCTTTTGTGTATTTCTAACTGATTCTATAAAGCTGTACACTTAGATTTCAAAGAACTAATCAGTTCATCATGAGTATAGGAATGAATGTGTTTGTAAACTCAATTCGAAACGTTTCACAACATCGGAAAATCTTCAAATTCTTGCCAATAGGTCGATGCGATCTTGGATTTTGATATCTATCCAGCAGTGCTAATTATAGTAATTATCCTCAATAAGTGGCAAAGATTTTACGGTAGACAAGCTACTTCCCGTAAGTGTAGAAATCAAATATTGAAATTTTCCAGACTTAGACAATGATACATTGTCATGAATTAATGCGCGATACAAGTCAACGAAAGAGGGCGAATTTTCATAATTTCCATCAAAGCGAGGTAGGTCAATTTCACAACGTTTAACACTAGGCTGCTCATCAGCCGTTGATGGCAATGGCAATGAAACATCCACTACAGAGGAATACATTTGCTTTACATCATAATACCTATTACCGAATTCGACTCTAACCAATTATTCTGCTGCGAGATCCTCTCCTCCCAATATTGGCTACTTTTCCAACGACTCTTAAATGATGATGCAGAAATTCATCTGCTTTATTATCAATAGCAGCATTCACCACTTCCATATGTGGGTAAACCTTCTTATCAGTGACAACTGAGTCCGTTATGTTTTTCACTTCTTTCATACGGATAAACCAAATATCTGCAAAGTACGAGACTGTTTCAATTTTGCAGCCTTTCTATCAGTCTAACTTTATATGATGATATATTGATGAATATATCAATTTTAATCACACAAATGCTATTGAAGTAACGAGAATGGATCTAAAGTGAACTAACATAATTCGAAAAGATTAACAACGATTAATGTACCAAGGTAAAGATATTCGAACACTGAAAGTGTTTCTTTTTTATATAGCTTTTTGTCAAAATCGATATAATTTTGGAAATTGGATAATTTGAGGGAAAAATGATCCGAAATCACTTGTTTGTTCAATATTCGAATGTGATTCTAATAAACAAAACCTGACAAGCTGTGTACAGAGCGGAATGTCTATTCCGAGTATACAACTTCAATACTCAATTCACAATCACATATTGCGATGACTGCAATCCAGCGACGATGATACGAACTCATTGATATTAGCAAATCGCAACAAGAACCTCGATCCAACCGATCTCCACCCGAATGTGGAAAACTGGTATTTCAGAATGAGTACCTATATTCAATGAATAATCACCAATGGAATATCAATGAAACGGAACTGAGATTTTCCAAAAACTGTGATTGATATCGAACGATTATTGTGCGAATATACCTACGATGTGGCAACAACAATCATTGTGAAAAGAGAATGCGAATATATTATTCAAAGGAAAATGATCTGATCCGGTGTTCGAAGGACCAATTTTCATGTTGCGTAACGAACTAACGAATTACGAGGGAAATGTGTAGATTAGTGGACTCACCAGAGTGGATTATATCGTGTGTTGTTGGATCCAGATGTTCTCGTCCGACGCGGTAGGCCTACCTTTCAGCTCCTCTTTCCTGGAATGTCAATTTCTATGGTTTTATCACTAGACGTCGATTGATACACGACTTGTAGCACTAGCGAAAAACTGTTAATCAAAAATAACGAATGATAGTTTTGCAAGAACACTACGAAATATACCGGTCACTCTCGATGAATATGGCTTCTTCGTTCATATTGTGTTCATCCCACCAACCTTTATTTACGCGCATTATTGGTACCACCCCATAGGCAACCCATAAAGCACGGATAAAGAATTTAAACTCAATGAATTTATTATTATCATTGATTTTGATAGTATATCAATATTATACACAAACAATGTGGACGAAACAACGTTGTATAACTTGCATGAAATATCATGTTTTCACTATACACAAAAATATAAACTATTGTAGATTATGGAAATAGACTTAGGTGAAGCTTAGCATGAAATTCAAATCATATAGACAGGTATCTAATGTTTTCAACTCCATATTTGTTGTTCGTACTACAATCACCTTCGAGCAAATGAAAATAAAACGATAGCCATACTTGCCTCCTTGCTGCTGTGAACACGAAACATCTCGATATATAGAAGTCGAGATCGAAGTTCACCAGCGTATAGATGATATCCGTAATGGTTTCACTGCACTGCACTATTTCAATAGTTTATGCAAAGTCAGTTGAAACAGATCATCAAACGAATGTCGGGCCGCGCTGTCGCACTCTTTGAACTTTCAAAGGGACCGACGGCTTGCGGTGATGCATTTCTCCAGCTGACTAAACCATACAATCAGAGATCTCGAAAAGTTTAGAATGTCCTTGAACCTGAATCACAGGGAATTCGGCAGTGGTCAACTGACTCCATCTACCCTTCTTATCATGAACATCATCAAATCTCATTATAAAAGCACGGCTTGTATGAATACTTCATAACACAAAGACATTCAATATATTGATATATAGCATAGCTGACACATGATATATTCAAAGCACATCATCAATATACATTTCCAATATTTCAATTCAAGAATTCTGATTGAAACTAATAAATACCTACTTATATTTATTAAGAACAAAATATAACCTGAGAGTCTGTCAATTGGGCATTCCGAAGATGTCTTTTTCTGGACGTCCCGAGTATGTCCAATAATGGACGTTCTATAAACGTCCATACAAGATCCTGGACGTTCAGACCAAAAATAGACCTGAAACGGACTTCCTCTGGGCGTTATGTGCTATCTGGGGAAGAATTAACTCCATTTTATACCTGCAAATATACTAACGAATTTGAATCACGAATATATTCAATTTGAAAAAAATGTGTTTTGTCCTAAATACCAATTTGATGAACTCAATTTGGTGATGAATCTGACGTATTTTCCAGGATTTGGTTTTTCCTAGCATAACACATGTCCATAGGAGTAAATCCGAATATTTCATTCAGAAAATAATACACGGAATTATAAAAAAAATCAATGATATATACAGGGGTGTTCTACTTGTTAATCAGAAGCCTGAGCGTAAGTGGAATATAAACCATGATAATGTCGAAACGTGACGTTGATCAAGTTGATAGGTTATTCCAAATTCAAATCAGCATTTATCTCTATAAAACTAAAAATGGAAATGTATCAAAATATATATATCCATTTGTTCATAATTATATCTGAGAATATTCATTTTCAATACTTTCACCCAATCAAGGGGTTCAAACTTGAACGATGTAAACTTGTTATTTTTATAGACCTTCAATCGCAGATTCGTGATTAGGTTTTCTCAATTCAGAATTTCTTTCCACGTCCTGTATGATGAATATCGATTCATCATACATCCAAAAACAAAAACAAAAACAGAAATTATCAAACTTTTTCTGATAGGTAGGTGGGTACCTATAGCTATAGTTATATCTCGTGAATGTCATTATGAACCTGAATTTTTTCTGATAGGTAGGTGGGTACCTATGGCTATAGTTATATCTCATGAATGTCATTATGAACCTGTATGTTCCTGATGGAATATTTTATATTCATCAGTATACCTATTATTTATTATACCTACCTGTGTCTATAGACAAAATGTGTGAATGCCGTGCATGTAGGCAGTGTTGCCAGATGACAATTTGCCAGAGCAGTAGATGGGTGACGGAAAAACAGTAGATCCTCAAAACTGAACAGTGGATTTTAATAATCATCACAATTTGCTGTTATGATTAAGAAAAAAAACGTAGAATCCTACATAAAAAGCGAGAAAAAAATTTTGGCTCTTATATCTACAAAAAATCAAACAAAGAATAACAAAACATAATGAAATGAAAAATGAAATTTGTAACAATCGAAAATAAAAGGTTATATTTATTGATCAGACTGAATCTGATGATTGAAGTATAATTCATCATACATCTTCTTACTGTGATGGCCCATTAATTCTTCATTGTAACATATTAGGTATAGATATGTCATATCAAAACATGATCATTCAGATCATTGCCTGGTAGATAAATTATTTTTGATAATGAGAAATTCTACAATGCTGGCTGTACTTAACCCATGACGCTGCTTTGACTCCAGCAAATTCACTTAAGTAAATAATCTCCCATATTAAATTAAGAGCAGAATTGGCCAAGTTCAAGAATACTATTGAATAGTCTCCAAAACAATACTCCTCAACTGAAAACCACACCTTATCAACTTTGGAGCCTAATTTCTACGACCGCTTGTGTGAAATTTTGCAATTTTCTAGTTTTGCTTTTGGTTTAACGTTAACGAACAAATCAATAGGTTTTATGACCAAAACAGGAGAACATGCAGTAGAACGCAGACAAAAACAGTAGATCTACTATTAAAACAGTAGGTCTGGCAACGCTGCATGTAGGTGTTTAGACTCTCTGGGAATCGCAAATAAGCTAATTCTTTCTTGTTCAGTTCATGAGGTGGGTACCTACCTACATATTTTTTATTTAATTATTTCGCAATTGCTTGCATATTGCACTTTGATATTTGAGTGATAGTAAATATATTTCTCTATTTTTTCTGATTCTTGTACCAGGAGCCAAGGGTGCCACGACCCCCCTTAACCTGTAGTACCGACGCCCATAACATCAACTGGTATATGGAAACAAAATGAGTACAAGTTTGTCTTCAATAAGTCATAAGTATATAAGTAATAGTGATGTACGTACCTCAATTATAGCGTGGACCAGGCTGTTCACCTGACCACCACTTCAACAGTTGAACGCATTGAAAATAGTATTTTATTTCCATCCACAACCTCCACTAACAATGCATTGCGCCGATACTAATGCGCCGCCACTGCTGTCAGGTCATCTAAAATCATGTTCGAGGTGACGCTAGTGTAGTGTTGTACGATATCGAGTCGGCCGTGAGACCATCGTCCCGAATAAACGCGAAACTCGGAGAAAAAGTGCCTCAAAATGAAAACCAACCATTGGTAAGTACTTAAAACAACTTCATTGACATTGGATCATGAATTTTGACGTGTTTTATCCAGAAAGAGCACGTTAAATGAGCGATTTCGTTAAGGCTCTCGAACCTAACCTCAAACTTTGTATCGTACACCCGTAGAATTGGCGATGGGCTACCAAATGAATGTTATGAATGCTGTTTATAATCGTTATGTATGCAGGTTCTAGGCTATATTTTGGCGGAATTATCCACATAAACAAACAAATAAACAGAGCCCAATCGGTTCTCTTGGTAGAATTACTACCTGCCTAGGATATGTACCAATTTGAAGTATTATCGATGTATTTCCATTGTCGACTGATGATTCAATGAACAGTGAAGTGAAGTTAAAGAGTGTGTGGCCTGTGTATATTTATAATTTTGATCGTGGAACTGGTTGAACTCATTCCATTCCAAATAAGCGTCAGCGTCATATCAGTCAGGGTCACATTGTTGTTTGTTTGATGTGCGATGTGTCGGAACCCTGCGCGAGGCTAAATAGGCTTGAGGAATGCGGCCGCCAGATGACGGCACTTGCCGAGTTGTTGCTCGTCATAGGCGGCTTGAGGGGAGGAGCTTGATTTATGTGTTTCTTTTACGAAGCATCAGGATAGACGGTCGAAGTCTCGGGGTTTCACGCTGGGTGCTTTGATTTGTTAAATTCGTTCTGCGTTCTGCGTTCACCTCTGAATGAAGAATTATTGTCAAAGTGCAATATAAGGTTCCTACACTGAGGAAAATTGTGCTAGGTACTCGGCTAGGTATGGACAATTATTTCCTTTCTCGAGTGAGGAAACGGATCATCAATATATATTTTCATTCGAATATCACTATAGTGGCTACCTATAGTCATTGAGAAATTTATAATTTGGCTAGGCAGGTGCCATCGGAATGTGAGATTAATTCGATTTCCTGGCAATCCTGACAGAGCGTTTTCCAGATAAAAGCATGTAAAGTGCTTAGGATATTTCCTCGGATATTTCATTCATGAACTATAAACGAGCATCACTTCCCTCGTCTGAAATATTCAAATATATATTTATATACAGTGTGTCCACCTTAAGGACTTACCACCCCTGTAAAATTGTTATTATCTGACCGATTGATGAATTAGATCACTCTCTCGTTGGATGGGCATTTCAAATACCTATCCAACAAAAAAAGGTTCTTTGAAATTGGTCGGATAATAACGATTTTACAGGGGTGGTGAGTCCTTAAGGTGGACACACTGTATATATTATGAATCATTCAAAATTCCCGTGCTATTCAAAATATTTGAGCTAGAACTACCTACCTATACCAAACACCAGAGGCGCTGGCGAATAAACATGTAGTATACGTTTACGTTGGGTATCTAGACACTGTTGGTACCGAGGGCCCGAGGGGTAGGTAATCCACTCTCTCAAAAACGTACACGGATTGGACAGATTGGACATAGGATTGGACCGATATTATCGGATATTATCGAATATTAAAAATACGAGATTGGACATTTACATTGCGAGAATAGGAGTATTGGGCTAAAAATGGACCTTGGATTGGACACCAAGTGTACACATATTGGACATAGTGGTTGACCCCAACATGATACTAAAACCAAGAGGCTGTTAGTATGTCTATGGACGAGCCTACTTGGGGCACCGAACACAAACTTTTTGGGGTTATTCAGCACCTATTTATCGTAATTCGATATATTAATATTGCTGATTAACCCCTCTATGAGCATTCGTCAGACATATTGCGTTTCGATTCGAAAACATAATATATTCATGCATTCGCAGTTTGGCTATGTTGATGATGTAGGTTATATGTACACATGGTGGAAATATAATATGGTGATGTGCTACTTATAGATATCTTGAATTTGTCTTTTCTGCGCATAACGTCATCGCGAGTCTATATACTCGCACCGAAATGATCACGGCGACTTAGGAGAACTGATTACTGTGACTACTGTGAGCAAAAAACACATTTGATATAAGAGTATATATATAAAACAATCCTCCACGCCCAGTGGAGTTGGCTGGTGTGAGCCTGGGAAGCGTTTTTTCTGCGATTTAATTCCTAGTCAATGAAAACTATTTCCTGAAGCCATGCTCCTCACAATGAGAAATTCCAGTTGGGCTAGGGTCGATTACGAACATTATAGCTTGATGGAAATTTGATCTTTTGATGAGGGAAAATGAAAAATAAAAACCCTTTATAGTGATGGTCGCCTTGGACTCGCACTCACTGACCATATGCAGTTGCAACCCCCAGAATCGGCCTCGGCTAAGCAACCGGCTTGAGTGGCCCATAATCATAAGCACCGAGACACGTTTGACTCCAGCGTGTTGAGTACCACGGTGGAGTCAAGATGCTTTCTCTAAATCTCAAGAACATCGCTTACGCCTTGTCCGAGAAACTTCGCGAAATTTCATATTTTCATGATGAACGAGTATCCTACAGATCGATTGAAGATTCCCAAAAAACATCGGTTGAAGAACTTGAAGAGAGTGATTTTACTCATGAACTGTAATCGTGGCCAACTGCGACCAACTTTATCGACCCATATTTGAGAAAGTACTATTAGGGATTTTTTTTCACAAAAAACAAAGATGGATTCTGAATCACGATCACTTGAGAAACATCCTCACTGATTTTTATCATCATAAAACACAGGGTGTCCGAAAAAACGAATTATGTTTTTTTTAATAGGTAATCAGAAAATGTAGTATTGTGGTATTTTTGAGAAGAATTGATGACACATTGAGGATCACTTTGAACATATCTGAACCAATTTTCATCATTCAAGAATACGATGTGTATGAGAAAACAATTAAAAAGAAAAAGTAGGCAATATTTTTTCATCAACTCAAAAAAAATATGAATTTGATTATTCGAATACCCTGTGTTTAATGATGATGGAAATCGGTACAAGTATGTTTCAAGTGATCCTGATTCATCTTTTTATTCTGAGTGAAGAATTATCAGGATGAAAAATATTGCTTACCTATCCTTTTTAATTTTTTTCTCAGACACATTGTATATTCAAATGACGAAAATTGGTACAGGTATATTTGAAATAATCCTCAATGATAATTTGTGATTATTTCTTTCTAGGAAAACCACAGAACTACATTTGCTGATCACCTATTTGAAGAAAATGATTGTTCGTCGTTTTTTCGGACACCCTGTGTTTTATGATGATGAAAATCGGTTAAGGTATATTTCAAGTGGTATTGATTCAGAATCCATCATCAAGTTTCGTGGAAAAAAATCCCTAATAGTACTTTCTGGAATATGGGTCATTGAAATTTGTCGCAGTTGGCCACGATAACAGTCCAAGAATTAGATCACTCTCTCGTTGGATGGGCATTTCAAATACCTATCCAACAAAAAAAGGTTTTTTAAAATTGGTCGGATAATAACGATTTTACAGGGGTGGTAAGTCCTTAAGGTGGACACACTGTATATCAGTCCGCGTGTTTCTTATAGAATCCATGAATCCATGATCTGCTCTAGTGGTAGTGATATTGCAGGTAAGTTTAAACCGCGAACATGGAATCTATAACATTTATTTGATATCTTTGATATTCAGTATATTATGCCACTGTCCATGAAGATCTGCCACTCGGAAATATCGATTACCGTTGATGTACGCGGAGAACTTTGTTTTCCAGCACCTGTAATTTTTCTATTTGGGTAGGTGGGGCACTACAAAATAAGTGTTTTCCAACCAGGTTCATTACCAGACTGGTTTTGATTAATATCTGAGTACCTGAGATTGATTCTAGTTGGATTTCACCTGTTCGAAAGTTCGAAACCTGAAAACCTGTGAGAGCTGAGTTATTCATTGATTCCTGCCCTTCCAAAGCGTTTCCTGATAGAAAACTCCAATTAACATCATTACAACCCTAAAGATTTCAATAATTTTCAACCATTTGCTGGTTTCTTAGTGCTCTCATATTTCATTCAAAGCCAGTGTAAAGTATAAATGTATATTGTATAGTGATTTCGTGATGCACATGTAAGTATGTATAATATTTTTCACCATTATTATTCATCCTGTTTATTGATTCATTTCATTCCTGTTGTTTTTCATACCGATACTCACCCGACCTGTGTAACGAATCCAGAAATTTGTATTTGCGAATAAACGTTTTTTTGCGATTGCATATTTCATATTTCTTTCTCTGTTGTCACTGTTCTCAGTTCCGCATAGTTCCAATTCTTCTTCTCCTTGAGCATTCCAGTCCTGTGCACCGGTGTCCCTGTGCTTTGTGTCCTGTCGGGCGGTGGTTTGTGGTTCATGAAATTTCGACATGAATAATGAATAAAGATAATTAACCTCACTAAAATTCCGATATTGCAAAAATTAGAAAATTGAAGGAAAGATAAATACGAATTGAATCTGTTTAATTCGTTTGGAACTGTGTTTTCGATTCTCTAGGTAGACTTAATGAAATAGTTTGGATAAATAATTTTCCAGGTCTAACCTAGAAATACCAAAGTCCAATCTTCAAAGAAGATATTTGCTTTGATTCCTGTAATTATCCATTATAAAAATTGTGACCAGTATTTCAGGCTAAACCCAGGGTTTGTTATTGAAGCCTACATTCCCGTGACTTCTTGATTCCAGGTCGATTCAATAACATTGACCCCTGTCTCCACTGTTGCTACTTTGGGCCTCTGTACAAAGATAGCTTTGTGCAGAGCAGGTGGAGAAAACCACCTCATAAACAATCTGGCGCCCGAGACCCCCGACAAGTACCAGAGTAGTCTCTGTCCAAACAAGCGTCAAAGTAAGGGCCGCCCGAAATGAAGGCCTTCAAAATATCATCACAGGCCTGATTATCTGCGTGTAGATCAGGAGCTTGTTATCCAATGTTAGCGAAGAATTTCTCGCCAACAAAGGATACAAGTCCTGATTGCTGCCTGGGTTCTTTGTTCCACATAGTTGAATTTACTTCTGAATGACAAAGGTCCGTCCAGCTTTACTCCCAG